GGGGGCTTGTCCAATTTGGGCAGTTAGCCACAAGCATGTGCCTCTCCTCAGGGCTACAGAGTGGAGCAGAGGTTTTGGTGATGTCTGGGAGGTGAGGCAGTCGAGAGACGTGGTTCATCAGGCTGCCTGTCTTCGTGTTGGGGGTATTGCTGTAAGTGTGGCGGTATTCCTCCTCAATGTTTCTTCCTAGCTTCCAACGCTTCCACTTCTTCAGAATCTCAGACTGCACCTAAGAAGAAGATGGCAGTGAAAGTAGATGTTATTAGTGTGATAATGGAAGAAAAGTCAGGGATCAACAAAAAGTGTTTTGTCTTCATAATGAGGAGGCTCACTTCTTTGTTGACAAAGCAGTACAAGATGGCCACCAAGAGACCCTGCAGAGACAACCAATATCGAATCAGTTCAATTGAATTTTATTTGTATCGTGTTTTAAACACAACACACTTGACCTAAAGTGCTTCACAGCACATTAAGGAAAACAATCAACAGGAGTCCCAAATTTGCCTCAAGGGGCTTTACAGTCTGTACAACATATAAACCCTCTGTACATAGAAAAAAACCTTTAACTGGATTTTTAGAAATGGAAGAAGTTATAGTTTAGGAGCCGCAGCTAAGAGGAGGTTGTTAGTTACTTTCTGCGGATTCTGCACTGTGATGAGCTCTGAAGCCTGTACAGGGAAACACGTTTCCTAACTGTGCATATATAAACACTTTGACCTTTGACCTTTGACTAAAATGTTTAAAAAATAGTTTTTCTGTGCATAAACTATTCCATCAAGGACTTGTGAAAGGAAAGAGAGTTTGGAGGTCAGTCTATAATTGCTAAGGACTGAAAGAGGTAACTTTTTCATTAACATAAAATTTAAAAATCTAATGTTTGAAGTTAAGAAAATACTCAGAGTTCATTTGCCCTCGTGCACGTATCAGTGCAGCGCAAGTTTTTCTCTTTATTAAAATATAAATAAATAAAATAAACAGAAACAATAACTAACTGTGCAGAATATTTCTTGTCTTAGGATCAAATTCCCACAACTGTGCTTGTCTTTGAGATTCTTTTTGCATCATTGTCTCCTGATTTCACCAGCTAAAACCAGTGAAACCCCGAATCATCACCCGCTAATCATGGACCAAGATGCTGTCCTAATGCTGGTTGATGATGTTCTCTATTTCATAAATGGTGTGTAGCATTTATCAGTGAAAAATAACAATTGAGCCTAACCTGGAAGGAGGAAAAGAAGAGGTCAACGGAGAGTTTGGTGAGACGCAGACCGCTGGTGGTGTTGGTGGATTCATCTGTCACAAAAATAAAGACCATCTGATGGATACCGAGCAGCGGGATCAGGGTTAGCGTCGACTTGGCCAACCTGAGATGGAGAGGATGAAAGAAAATACACGATATGTCAAGAGACATTACATCGCTATATGTACATCAGAAAAACCATTTAAGAAAAACAGTTCAACTCACCTGAACTTGTAATCTGTGTATCTCATTTGGTGCGCTCGTAGTTTTGACACAAGAATTTTGATGATATGTATAAAAACGAGGAAGTTGATCTGTGAATGTTGAGCAAAAAACATATTTTCTCACTTATACTGTAATAACGTGCAGTCATGGAGGTGGTTTTGTTATATGAAATCAAAGCTGAACTTTGTGCCGTTATTCCAAAAGTATGAATGTGTTTGAAATGTTGCTTGTATTACTCGTAGCTGTGAACAATTACATTTGAAAAAACTTACTTCCAGATACACAAAGGCTCAGAAAAAAAGCATTTTCAATGAAAACAGTTCAACATATCACAAAATTTCAGTAGATAAAATCAAAACTTTCTGCGTCTATGAGTACTACTAATTGTAAGTACAAGCGGTTTTATGATTTGAGTCAATCAGCTCTATAACAACAGCAGAAGCTCATTGTTATCAGGAAACATTTTCACATTTTGCCATTTCAATGAAAATCACTCATGATTACAGTTAAGTTGTTACTTTGCAGGTGCTTGATAGGAAAAAGTGAAACTGGACCAAATTTGAACATTAAATTATTGTCTAGGTTTCACTGGAATCATGTGAATATAGTTGTTTGCTTTTGGTAATGCAGTTTTTGCAGTTTGAGCATGTTTTGCTTAGTAAAATTATTGAAATGAGCAAATATTAAAAGCCAAGTGACATGATAGTAAAGAACAAACAATACACATGTTTCACCCTCAGCCCAGTATGTAACACACTGAGGTTTCATGATGAATGAAAATGTATTACTTTACTTTACTGAAAGTTTAACTTCTATTAGTAAATAAACTCATATTAACCAAAGGCCACCATAAATAATGTATTATTAGGAATAAAAGGAAAGAAGGAAAGATAGCAGCATCTTTTGTCCCTCTCCTTGTCGGTAAAGCTGTAAACCAGCCACCCTCTCCACATATGTATACACAGTGCAGTATGCACAGTACCTATATTGGCATGAGTTATTTCATATTTGCATAAACTTTGGTGTTAAAATAATGACGGAATTTGTTGAGGTTGCTGTAATAACAGTAAAGTCACATTCTTACAGGAACAGTTGCTTGAAATAGAGAAATGGGAACCAGCCCGTGTGTCCCTGAGACAATTCAAACACAGGAATTCATACATGCTACTTAGCAGAGTGGTTAATGTATGGAAAATGCCAGGATGTCTGTGTAAATGGCCTGACATAAGAGCCATGAAAAACTAGCTTTTTAGAGGCTCAGGACTGGCCTCTGTAGAGCAGGCCTGCAATAAAAGCTCTGGTCAGAGGATGGACATGTGGACAGGGGGTGGCTACACTTTGGGTTAGAGAAAAAAAAAACTGATTTCTTTAATCCAAAAACCTTTTAACACTTGACATGTTTCCTAGATGTTAGGTCTAAAACACGTGAAACGATTACATTTTATTAATAAGGAAGGTGTGTTTAATAATGTATAGTCTATGAATGGAAAAGGAATTACTTGGAAAGAAAAGTGGATATGCAAGTCTGAGTGATGGGCACACATGTAGGATTATATGTTTTTTTTTTTTCCATTGCATTTTCATTAGAAAAAATAATACCAAATATATATACGGCACACCAGATTCAAATATTTAAAAATAGTTTTGTATTACAAACAAAATGTAACATAATGCGAGGCGTAGCAGACTGAGGATGACTTGGGGGAAATTACCACAACTGCCAGCAGAATTGGGGAACGGATAATCCACCAATAATTCATGTTTGGATTTTGCTCCCAGCACCTAAAAGAGAAAAGCATTCATGCAAATACCAGAGAGAGACAGTGGGAAGCATTTCCTATACTTTGGATGAAGCACCTCACATTCACTCAGGCACTGATTTGCAAATCCTGCTAATATAGAAAGTATTTTTTTTCCTATTTGATGGGAGAGGCACAGCACTAGTTTGGGCTTTTAAAGCTTTACATTACAACACAAGATTTCAATGGTTTAGAAAGTGCAGCCTCAAAATCCCCTAGATTTCATACTTACTGCTTTAGTATGTACATTAGATCCTAAGAGACTAAATAATAGAAACTTTGGATGCTGAATGTCAACATGAAATATTAAGGACATGCTAACACAGCTGCTTTTCTGGCTCAGTTTACATAGTTGATGTCCTGCAAAAGATAAACTGTGTTGTGAAAAGTTTATTTGCAGCCAAATCCTCATGTACTGTAGTAATTATATGTTAAACTGACTGTGAGCTGCTGAGTGTCAGCAATCAAAGGCTTAGGGAACTGTCTTCTAATTTCTTTTAATATGTGCTGCTGTTATAAATAAGGAATCAACATGAATAAGCTAAAATGTAAATTGTTTGGCAGGCTTTCATACTGGCTGCAGAATCATGAGTGAAGGAAAGAGAAAGCACTGTGGAGACTTACTCTTGATTTTCATAAAGGTATCTAGCCATCACCCAAGGAACAAGGAATATTAATGGGGTACCTGTGAAGAAATGAGAGCAGTCTAAGGTTGTTTTGCACACCAGTGTTATACTGTTCCCTTTAACCATTCTGAGATTTCCTGAAATCTGAATTTCATTTCATGCAAAATGTATCAAACAGCACACAATTAAGTTGCATCCAGGCACATGCACGTACACACACAGACACACACTCTTGCCGGCCAGCTCACCCCAGCCAATGCACAAGTAGATTTTGAAGTAGTTCCTCTCTGTAAACACAGTGATGACCAGGAGGTTGTGGAGGTAGATGCCTTCCACCAGCAGCCAGTAGCTGTTGGCCATGATACTGTACTGCATCATCACCGTGGCGATGCGACAGCTAACCGTTATCTGAAGGACAGCAGTTAGCTTGTTTTTTTAAATAAATGGTAAAGCATCAAACTGTGTGGTGTAACACAAAACACAAGCACAGCACAAATTCACTGCTAGCAAGAAAAACAAAAAAAATAATTAGGTGTAGATTACCACTGACCTCATTGTTGACCAGCAGCTCCATGGGACGCAAAGATTCCTGAGAGAATCCCCACTCCTGGCCTCTGCTAAGGTCCTGTGATGTCATGTTGGCATCCAGCAGAGCATCTTTGATGAGGATAGACAGCGCTCGCAGGATGAAGGAAGCAAACAGATTCATGTGGATGTTGTTCCTCATGCAGTGCAGTTTCCTGATAAAAGAAAGGCCACAAGGGTCTAAGAGATCATCTTTTTTTCACCTTAATCACTCACAGATATACTGCAAAAGAACTTTCTACTTAAATAGCATTATTTCTACTTCCTGCTGCATTTGATGGAAACAAATCTTCTGTAGCATCAACTTGAATTGTTTCCTAAAACTTTGTTTCTTAGGACTGATTTCAACTAAGAATCACTTCTACCTGAAGAGTACCAGGATGCCCAGTGCCAACACCAAAGCCACCAACGATAAGGAATAGCCCACTGTGTACATGATCCGAATATGGCCATGAATATGAATATGGTATTGCTGCAAAATAAAACACAATAAACCACACAGATGTTAGGTAGAGGAGCTAAAGGAGCAGTGTACTCCACATGCTACAGTACAGCTGTGGTGGTGATTACAAACCCAATGATGCAGCAGCACATTTGCCTATCTTGACTATGTCTACTACTTTCTAAAAATAACAGAAAGACATTTCTTACCACACTTGGATCATTAAAATCACACTCGCTAGTATTCTTCATAGTCACCCACTGGCCGTTTGCATCACACTCCTGGTACACCATGCCGTGTTGAACTGCACACACATACACACACTCTGTGATGTACTGGAAAGTCCAGTCATCATGGACAGCTGTCTTTGTAAGATATTTTCAGTTACTCTGCAACATCTCAACTGCCATACAGTGTCTGCAAATCTCACACCTTGATGGCGCCATGGCAGATACCACGGACATGACACGCTGACAGTGGTGTTGGGTTGTCCATCAGGCCAACAGGCATAATAGTCAAAGGTCCTGTTGCACACAAGGCCTAGGGATAAAAAAAAAAAAAACATGGATGGGTGAATCACAGCCTGAAACAGTTCTCTGCTGCCTTTGTCTTGGAATGTAATAACATGTCTTTGAAGTGACAGCTACTGGTGGCCATTAGGATGACCACATGATAGTCTTTCATCTTGACTTTAAGGTAAAGTTTTCCATCAGTGATCTCCCCCTAGAATCACACCTTTCATCTTCCAAACAGACAGTGGAAGCAGTGCAAGCTGTTACTGAATCGGCAGCTGAAAGATTAGGTGTATGAAGTGATCTGTTCCATCTCCTCTGCACCTGCTAATTCCCTGTTATACTCAGTGTTGTCAATATAAAAATAGATTTGGTGACTTTTAAGACCTCTTTAGTGACTTGGACAACTATTGCAACATTTTGAGCAAATTTTAGTTCCTTTCTCTTGAGGAACGTTGCTAATATTTCTCAGTGAATGTGATCTCATGTGGCTGTGACTCCCGGACCAACTGTGTTCAGTGTGTGGGACCAACCCAGTCTACATTGGTGTGCAGCGCAAAACACACTAGTCTCACAAAAATGGCTCAAAAATTGGCGGCAAAAATGAAAGACAATGGCTGACATTCCTTATACGTAGTTAAGTTCAGGCATAGCAACTCCATGGTTGGATTAGGGAAAGCCCCTTGGTTAGAATAAAACATTCTCAAATGAAAAGTACAACATCACACAAAGTTGGACTGCATGAAATTCAGGTGTTTGCTGGACCCGTCCGTGCGCCCCGACCTCCACCTGCCAAGTGTTTTCACCTTTCTATAATTCAAAACCATTCGATCTTGACTGACACTAAATGTTAGTGTCCCGATCCACACTCCAGTCCAGTTGGCAGCAGTTATGCACCATTTTGTTGTTTGGTTAGGGTCAGTCAACCAATTAGAAGCTAGAAAGAAATGTGAGAGTACTGTAAAAGTCCCTGAATGATAAATCACTGATCCCAATTATTTATTTCCAGATGAACCTCTTCTTCTCTGTTTTTGTTAAATCAAAGTTAAGTTGCTTTTTTCATCACCATAATTTACTAGTGTGAGTTCATCCCAAGGTTTGGATCCTCCTTATTCATCACTTCATTCTGTACAACTGCCTTTAATAAAGCTTTTCAAATTAAGAGAAATTAAGATTTAGATGCATATAGCAGGTTGAAAGCAATAATCAATAATGATGAAGTTAGTTAGCTTGTGTTCATTTGTTTACCTTTTTAGATATATGTAGATACAGTAGTTACATTATATTGTAACTAACATGAAAACCAGCGCGTCATCATCTGACAGCTGCTACTGACTTTTCATTGAAAACAGCTGCCAGCACTGCTTATGCTAACGGGGTGACAGGAAGGGTATGTGAGTGGGAGAACAGAGTGGTGTGATTTTGTGTGCAGTGTGCCTCTTTGAAAGATGTTCTCCTGCTTTATCCCACAACCATAACACATGCTAAGAGACTAAAATGTAACGGGAGGGCGGCATTGACCGTGTACTTTCACACTCTGTTGATAAAGCGAACTGAAGCCAGCCCTCTCTCAGCCCAAGCAGAGGGCAAGAGTGGTGCAAATAGAAAACTTGGACTGGCTGCATGCATAGTGATTAGACAACAGTTTGAGCAGAGAGTGAAAAGTGATGCCACTCTAGTTTGGTAACAGCACAACCTGACCATTACCTGCTCTACTGAATTAGATAGCTGTCCCCGCACTACAAGCTGAGGGCAAACACATACTTTTAGCTAGTGTATATGGAAATTCTTTTTAAAAAGGTGGCATTTCATAGTAACCTTCTGAGAAATGTTAGAGCATTAATAATGATGTGGCGATCATAACCTCAATGCCTACTGTTGTTGTTATTACTGATGATGCCAGGGTCATCAGACATGTGATGTTACAGTATGTTCCCCTCACCCGTGCTCGGTGGATATCTGCTATTGTTACGAGCACACTCCTCCATGTACAATTTCCAGTTCTCCTTCAGTTTATCCAGGGTAGAAGCAGGAGCCATCTAAGGAAAGCAAAAAAAGTGGGCATTTGTGAATTCAGTTATGTAGTGGAAGCAGGTGGACAAGAAGAATACCGAGAATGTGAGCCTCACACAAATCATGAAGACACATTTCCTGAATTGGCATTCATCAATCTCTCTTTACTTCATGTACACAGCAGCTGTAAACAACCCGTTCTCAAGCCGGGGATATAATCCATCAAGATGACAGTGTTTCCCATTAACTTGTTGTCAGGAGTGAGGGAGTGCTGTATGTGGACAGACTGATATTGTGAACGCTCTAACAGTCTTGTCATTAGGGGACAGACATTTTGTTTAAGCTTCCACACCATGACTCTCTGGCTTGTTTCTAAAGGCAGTGGAGTGAAAGAAACAACACCCACCTTCAAACTGTTAGCAACTAATGGAAGTTCACAGACGTGCATGAAGACTGTTCGATATATACCTGTGTCTATATGTGTGTGGGTCTTGGAACCTACCTGGATTCTGCAGGAGAAGATGAGCATTGCCAAAAGGAGGAACAGCCGTGACATTCCTGGTTCCTGCTGTTGGTGCTGGGAGGGGATACTGTAGGACGGGAAAAGGGTTTCACCTCATAAGGGGGCTTATCTATGCTCGCCACACTGCCTGGATGACACAGAGACACACAATTCATCAAGGCTCATTGCAAACACATTTATTACCTTGGCCCAGCTCAGCCATGCAAAACAAGAGGCTGGAGAATATCTATTACACTACAATTAAACCAACAGTTGAAGGCATGCAGAAGTAAAATAAAGAGAAAATGCCACAGATAACAAGGTGCACAGCTTAATGATGAGGCAGGATGGACTATCCACAACCAGACTGCCTAGAACATCAAGCACAGGTCCAAAAGTTTCCAGGAACTGGAGCTGCTTGTGTCATCAGCCGGGGCTCAGCAGAGCTGCACTCGCTCCACAGTGGGCTGCTGTCCACTTTCATCTCAAAGCCTGTCAGTGTTTGGTTGAGCATGTGTCACCATGTGCCCGAGGTCACTCACCCGCATATCGACGGACACCGCAAACTCCCCAGAGAAATTTAGTTGAAGCCGGAGAACAAAACGAAATCTGAAACGTTTCTGCAAAAAACTCCTTCACCATGAAAACATTTTTGGCTAAAACGTTTCAAATTCCATTCTGTTCTAGTCTCATGGTGGGAAGGAGGATGGGTTTGTGTTGTGTTATAATAGCACAGCGTGTCTTACAGATAATGTATGTGTTAAGAACGCCTCAGTTCAATTCAAAGATATTTTCTGTCTGAATTTTGAACATGTCAACAAGTTTCTAAAGTCTAGGCAAAATAGTTGCCAGGAGACCCCAGTCTCAATGAATGTCCTTCATACTGCAAAGCTTTACTGGAAGTCAGGCTTCAGATAATATCAAAACCAAACAGCCGTACTTTCTAAACGGCCTGTTCAGTGTAATGACCACAGAATATGGTTAGCATTAGCTGTAGTACAGACTGACTGATTGCCCAGGGCGCCTCAGGGATCAGAGATACTCTTGTCTAGTCAGACATCACCTGAGATCACAGCACAGACTGTTTAATGCCCTCAACACTATCAGACATGTTGAAGTCACAATTCTGGTCTTTGTATTTAGTTTCACAATGTATATTCTTTACAGCAACATGAGAGGGTTAACAACATGTTAAAAAACAACGAATGCTGGCAAATCCCCAGCGCCCGTTATGCCTCATTAGGAAGTTGAATGTGTGCTTTACACTAATGGCATGAAGAAAACAACAGCATCATTGTGTGAGTGCATGATGTTTACGCATGTGTCTGGTACTGTAGAGCGGTTGACAAGCATGAGGGTGAGCACACGCTGCTGCTTACAGCACAGGTTTTATGCCAGTGTATGACGGTTTTCCAAGGGTTTCCCTCTTTCACACACATACACACTCACTCTCTATCTCTCTCTTCTCTCTGTGTCTCTTTCTCCATTTCCACAAACATACACAGAGACTTTTTCCTAATGCAGCACTTTCTGCATCTTAGCACCAAGTAGGAGGAATGATTAACCAGACTGTGGTGGCAGTGTTCAGAACAGACCTGTGCAAGGGGATTGACAAAAGGAAGATAGAAAGAGATAGAAGGTATGTCAAAGTGGTAGAGCAAGACAGAAAAATGGTTTTCTCAACCCTTTCTGGCCCCTGACCTCATTTTAGGCCCTAACGTTGGCCATAGTTGTGAGTAAAAATGTAAGCAAAAGTAAAGCTGGCAGTAAAGTTACACAGGAACTCTAATCCTGTCTGATCCCACTCCATGACCTTTCCACCAAGCTGTTTTCTTCTTTTACCTTCTTTCATATTTTGAACATTTTAGCAGTGTGACATCACAGCCGTCATAGCTTCCTTCTTTGATTCATTATGCATCTGCATATTTTTAGCTGAAACATCACAAAATGCCCTACAATTGAATGTAAAATGTGGCCAAATGGACATTCACTGCTAAAAAAGACAAGAAGAGATTTTTAAGTGTCTCATATGTATTTGTGCTAAATTGTTCTATACAGTCTGCCTGGATGCCTTTGATGCAGGTTGATGAGAATCCCATTGGTCAGTCGGTGGGAGCTGGAGTGGAACTAATGAGTCTGAAGGTACGAGGCTAATTAGGCTTGTATATTCTTCTGTTACGATGTCCTGCCAGAGCTACAGCTCTAGGCGTCCAGCTAAGCTGAGGATTGCTCGACCTTGTGGATCCAGGCCAATCTAGGTCCTCTGGACCATTTGTTATTTAAACCCAGTTGCTCTGTGTTCCAAGAAACACCCTGCAGCTTTTAACACTGTTGTTGCACATTTAAGAGGTGGAATAATGACTGAGAGTTGCACAGGCAGAGCCAGAGGGAGCTCTTAGGTTGTTTGAGTTTCTTTTAGTGTTTCACACTGAAACAATTTACCACAAGGTTTCACCTCTGCCTGGGGGTGTGTTTAATGTGTGAAAAATAATGCTCAGTTTCTTCAAATAAACACAATAATGATGTTTTGCATTGGAATTATTTATTGATGCTTGGCCAAATATTAAACAAATTAGATACAAAAAAAACACAAACAACAAAACATTATGTTCAAGTGCATGTTGGATGACGCAGTACAAGGGCCATTAAAAATTACTATTGATTGTTGGAGAGTACTTATCCTTCATTTGATTACACTGTCTAACAAATAAAATTACAAAAGGGGAGTATGCAAGTGTAAATGTGGGGCAGTGGGTAGCAGCCAGGATTAAAAACAAACCTCTTGGAAAAGACAATAACTGTCTGGTTCAAAAATTGTCCCTGAGCAGCAATCTATCATGTAGCTTTCCTAATGCAAAATCCTCCTGCACCACCCATCTTACACAACTTTCCTTCTCATTGAGGAGGCTTATGCACATCTATACAATATGAAAGTAACTTATCTAATTTGTGTCCTGAACAGAGGTATCAATGGAAAAGATGGTCATCAAAGCAGAAATGGAGCACAGCTCTTATCCAGCTCCCGGTACGTATAGGTCTTACATTCCATGCTTTCATTAGCCAAGAAGAACCACGCAATTTCATACCTTAGGGCTCCAGATGTTACACTGAGCATGACAGTGCTGAATGAAATGATGTGATAATGGGGTGATGCAGAGTTCAGAGGAGACAGAGAATCATGCAGTTGCACGCTCTGTGACTAGGCTGCCACTTAACTCCGGGCATCACACTGAGCTGATCTTCACTTAGATACCTCATTTAGTTCTTATTGTATAAATGCTTCATTAGTTTCTCCTATTTGAATTTTCTCGGTCTGATTCTCAAGCAGCTATGTGTTTTCTGTGATGGTTTTCTGAGTGATAAATCATGTTCTGCTCAACAAGCTACTCACTCTTCAGTCTCACTCTCTTTTACCGAGAACATGCCTATAACTGTACCTTGTGTGGCATTTCATCTGATCTCATCAACTGTATGTGTCACTGTAAATGGTCAGTGGTAGAGCTCTGGGCACACATCCCATTTTCACTGGTGATCATACACGTAAGGTGCATTGCTAAAGCTACTTTTTGTGTTTTGTGGTCAAAGTATAAAACAACAAGACAACCTCACTGTGATCATAAACAAAATCTAGTTAAGATCAGCAACAAACAAGTGTGTCAGTGTCAATGTGTGCAAAACACGGACTGCACAGGATTTGGTATGGAAATAGTTAATTTCAATAGTCATACTTGATGGTAAGTAAGATTAAAGCTGGATATTTTTGCTTTTTCTCTTATCTTCTTCTGAGAAATACAGATGGCCCCTATCATCATCTTCTGCAGCCAAAGTACCAGCGTGTAAGGCACCAGAAATTGTTTCAGCAAAGAAAATCTCTGGCTAATAGCACAAGTCAGCAGATGCACTGGGGGATCCTGTTTGTCATTATACTCTACAGTATATCGTGATGCTTTGCTGGTTTTGTCCTTTCTCTCTTACCTGCTTCTGGTTTAAAATTCGTGCACCCGCTCTCTCCCTTTGCTTCCTCACCACGTTATATACACCGATCAGCTATAACAATATGATCACAGACAGGTGAAGTGAACAACATTGATTATCAAGATCAAGAGATCAAAGATTTTTACACAGTGGACAGAGTTCAGCATCCTCACAGCCTGGTGGATGAAGCTGTTTGTCAGTCTGGTGGATGAAGCTGTTTGTCAGTCTGGTGGATGAAGCTGTTTGTCAGTCTGGTGGAGTGGGCCTGAAGACTCCGATACCTTCTCCCTAAAGGCAGGAGTCTGAAGTGGGGGTGTGTGGGGTGGGAGGTGTCATCAGCAATGCTGATGGCTCTGTGGGTGAGGTGGGTGTTGAAGGGAAGGCAGAGGGGTGCCGATGATCTTGCTGGCTGTTTTCACTATACATTGCAGAATCCTTCGGCAGAAGGCAGTACAGGCTTCGTACCACACATCTCCTCAAAGATGTGCACCCCCAGGAACTTGGTACTGCTCACTCTCTCCACTACAGCACCATCGATGGTCAGTGGTGGATGCTTTAGATGTTTTCTCCTGAAGTCCACACATGATCTCTTTAGTCTTCCCCACATTGAGGGAGAGGTTGTTGTTCTTACACCACTGGACCAGTTGGCTCACCTCATTCCTGTAGTCGGCCTCATCATTGTTGGTAATGAGGCCAACTACAGTCGTGTCATCCGCAAACTTGACAATGTGGTTGGTGCTGTAGGTTGGCACACAGTCGTGGGTCAGCAGTGTGAAGAGCAGCGGGCTGAGCACACACCCCTGCTAAATTTTATTTGTACAGCGCCAAATCACAAAAAAGTCAAGTCAGGACATGTTACAAAGTAAGGTCTAGACCGTGCTACTATTATTATAGAGGAGAAACCCAACAAATCCCCACTGACTCCTATGTACACAATATTAGGCAGGTGGTCATAAAGTTGTGGCTGATTGGTGCAAAAAGACACTGCACTGAGAACAGAAGACATGAGATCTCAAAAAAGCAGCTTTGTCTCTTTCACCAAGACATAATCCATGATGTCCTGTTGAGGGAGAGTATCCGCTTTTAAAACATTATATATACACTCTTCACTCGCTAAGACCCAAGGAACTCACCATGGTTATAGCCTAACTTGGTCAGCTGTCAGGTCTGTTG